ATTTTGTATCACGCAAACTAGTCGTGAAGTGTGCATGAAAACGTCGTGACTGCGTGCCATGGCGGGACGAGAATTTTGAAACGTTCAAAATTGTGGTCACAACAAAATTTAGCGACCGGGTCGTGAACTATGTGCAAACTGTTTGTGAACTCGTCGTGAATTCGTCGGGACGATGCGTGCTAGTGCGCGCCATGCCACGACTGTCACAAATAGTCCACGAATAGCTCACGTCGAGTTCATGAGTAGTTCAAGACATGTTTACGAATTGGTGCGCGTCGCAGCGTGGCCGTGCATTTCCACTGACACGGTCACGTGTACTTCACGCATTGATGGCACGAGCAGTTCACGACTAGTTTACGCACTTCACGAACAGTTTGCGCATGGCATGAGCAGTTCACAAGCAGTTTATGACGAGTTCAAGAGCAGTTCATGACTACTGCGTGACAGTGGCGCTCGAGTCGGTGCAGGGCTTCTTGGACACTGCTCACCATTCCAGAGATCGCCAGCGAAGAGACAACATGCCTAAAACAAAGCAGACATGAAGAAGAGCAAAGCAGAGAAGGCCAGAAGCTGACAGGCCAGAGGCAGAGACCGCTGAGAGAGATCATTCCCCCCAGTCATCCATATCAAGTGTCGATGTTATCCCGGAGACATAGCAGGATCCGGTCGAAAGCCAGAAACAGCCATCGAGTGAGGACGAGGCCACCAGGCAGGAGAAGAAAAGCGGGCCCAGGTGTCCAAGAAAGAAATCCCTGTGTACCACTGGACTGAAGAGGCCGAGTTGAGGTTGGCCGAGCTTGTGAAAGAGAATCCCCAGCTGTATGACAAGAAGCAGAAGGAGTGGATCAATGTGGCGGCCAAGAATAGCCGGTGGGAACGAGTCGGAGAGCAGCTGGAGCCTCCTGCCACCGGTATCCAATGCAAGAAGCACTAGAAGAATATGAGAACCAGGATGGGGAAGATTATGAAGAAGGAGAAGAAGAGTGGGGCTGCCAGCCACAGAGGAGTGCCCATGACAACGAGATCATGGAAACCTGGAGTTTCCTGACACAACACATCGTCCGGGGAGAGACAGTCCCCAGTGAGCAATTTGCTGTCCCAGAGTCAGCTGCAGTGACGATGACGATGATGGAGTGAGGTCCACAGATTCCAATAGCCAAGCATATATTACCACTGGGAAGTGCAGGGGCAAGGGGAAGCGGTCCAGGCCATCATAAACAGAGACAACCTCCACAACCACCGACACCGGGGTGACCCAGAGCGACCTCAGTGATGCAGTACAGGTGAGAATCACAATGTCTACATGCAGATTGTATTTCAGTTTGATCCATTGCTCTTGACATGACATGTGCAATATGTTGATTTTATACTATTTCGATTTGTTTAGAGTCTTTTTATACTGTTTTTAATATTGTATTTTGTTTTTGTTCATTGTATGTAGTGATTTTTACTGTTTTTATGTTCTATATTTGTATATGTCAAAGTTTGTATTGTTTTTATTGTGTTGCAGGGCCCCTTTGTAAATCAGTGTACCAACTGAAAGGGCTACCCTGTGAAAATAAAACGTAAATAAATAAATAAATGAATGAATGTCGCATACGACTTCCGTGTGACTGAGAATGTTTTAGAACCGTACTGTGTCTGGGTGGAATTTTTAGAAACTGGTTGAATAGGTAATAGAACACTGTAGGAGGCAATAGAAGGTAATGGAACATTCTAGAAATTTGTAGTAAGTTCCAGACTCATTATGTATGCTGATGTAATGGTCTATTTATAGACAGTGTGGGTATATATAGGGGAGTTGTTCAGCACTGAGATCAGATCAGAGATCTCGTTGAATTGTATTGGAGTTTAAGTATCTAGTTATTGGAGTAGTGGAGTTTTACCGCGTTATTGTACTTGATGTTTGCAGAGTATAATAATACCAGTACCAGTTGAAACCTCATCTGTTGGCTCCATGTTCGTATTTTATCATCGCCGCCAGGGAAGTCTTTTTGTTACTGTTGCCATTTTGGTATTTAAACCATCACACCTGTACTATACCAATTACGGTAATATTACGTTGCGTGTGACAATGAATGAATGAATGAATAAATAT